TCGCACGAACACAATGCTTCCTTACCTTCGGTAGTAAGGAAGCAAAAAAAAAAAAAAGAAATATATATATAAAATCTTGAAAGTCGTTTTATATTATATTGTGATTCAATATCGAATTGTATAGAATCAATGATCATATTCTAATTATAAATCCAGTACCTCCGATCATAAGAGATATAAGGATTTCAACGCTTTCAAAAACCACTATCTCACGAGAGGAAATAAGGAAATGATCAGCTCCTTAACGTTAAAAAATCCTCATTTTAAAAATATACAGTACAAGCCTTGAAGTATAGGAAATTCTCAGTCCAAAAATTTAATTTTAATTAAACCTTGGATCTCCATATATAAAATGGAATTTATCACATTATATATTACTTATTTTTTAATTATTTCTTGGCTGTAATTTGAAACAGTGCATCAAGCCTGAATTTTATAAATATAAACACTTACTAATAGGTTTGTTGTTGTTTTTTATTGTCACTAAGAATTAGATGGCATTATCTTTTATACATGTGATATGTTTTCCCAATAATAATAATAATTAGTATAGTGAAACATGAAAGGCGATGACTCGACAGACGGACGTCGTATATGTTAAAATATATATACAATATAGTAACAAAAACATATTGGTATTTATTTTTGAAATATTTGTAAGATCTTTGTTAAGTTATTCTGATTAATGAAAAACATCCTCTCTGTCTTTCTATCGTATTTTAATTATTAATTCAGTACCTGCATTTGAGGGTGGAAGAATCTGAAGTTGGCTGAAACACGACGTTGTTAGCGAAGGGTCGGTTGGGTCTTTGTCATGATTAATTATACACTTTACAAGGCAGAAGAACCTGTCAAATGTTTTGACAAGAGGCGAGATGCTCCTCTAAGTAGGTGAACTTTCAACGAGGTTTAATACTCCAAGTAAAGCCTTATTTTCCCGACGTTAATAGTTTCAAAATTCCAAAATCTTAAATATCTAGGTCAAATTGATAACTCCTTCGGAACTTTCAAAACTTGTGGAAAACGACAATGCTAAGAACAAGTGTTATTAATAGAAATAATAATAATAAACACTGACAACAAACATTCATAATCACAGCAATGACAATGAAAATTAAGACCATGAAACAGTGCTTTCCATAAAACCTAAGACCCTGCATGGGTTATAGAGGTACAGGATTTTTTTATTTTATGGAAGGTATGGATTAAAATTATCTCTGAAACTAAAAATCGGACCTCCATAATGTAAGCGAGGAAAATGTTCAACATTTCATCATCTTTATAATGATCTACTATTTATAATTTATACCTCATGTGATTAACCCCGCCTTGTAGATGTTTTCACTTCTATCGTGTGATCTAAATCACACAATTTTATACTTTTTCGCTATTTATAACTACGTAGTAATGCACCTACCAAATTGTATGTACCTCTATCGTTTCTTTAATGGTCTTGATTTAGTTTTTAGTGAAGGGACGAACCTCTCAGCCATTAACTTTTTAAATTGTGTTAATCAACTTCCACAATTTTTCGATGAATTTGGTTTGTGATGATTCTATTTTGTTTATTTTTTTTATTGAATTTTAATACATTCTGCCACATTAAAGGGCATTAATATTAAGGCTACATGAATCATTCACACAATATGTACATACAAATAATAACTAAGAATAATAAAGAATAATAGAAATAATAAAGAAAAATAAATAATTAAAAATAAAATAATTAATAATAAAATCATAGTAATATTAAAATAAAAATAACATCTTAGACGCAGGTATACCTTATTTTTGTTTATATGTGATTGTTTTGTTGCACCCCAAAGTTTTGCTCCTTGTAATCCAAAATTAAGAAATTTACGATGAACACTGCTAAAATATAAACAATGAATAATAAATCACGTGGTAGCCATGCATTCTTAAAATGTTGGCAATAAAATTGTAATTTTTCGAATTAGTCCTTTTATATTAGTCGAATTTACATTAAAAAAATAGTTAGTTGTAATTAATCCGGGAAAAGTACCGTTCGTCAAAATGACTAATTTTCTGCTTGGTCCAATTAGTTTCCGGTATTTCCTTCCTCTCACACTCCCTCTTCTCAGCTGTGCTATCTCAACTTATTTCACAAGAGATCCTCGGCGGTGGAAAGCTCCCACAGTAGCTAAGTCCAATTATTTTTATTACTTAGTAGATTTAATATCGCCTAAATGACGAAGCGATACCCTTTGTCATACATTTTTTATCTTTGTTGCGATGAACTGTTAACCAGTCATAGCAAGACATCAATATTTAAAATAATATTCGATATTTCCATCTTACTTTTTTTTAGTCAGTTATCTTTAAAAAAGGTTACAAACTCCAGTGGAAAAACTACAGGGGTATCTCTCTTCTCTCTTCTGGATATTATGATGTATCTAACATCCTGTTCCAGCGTCTTCTATCTTTTGCAATAACTGGAATCACTTTTTTCTTTGTCACTAGGAAGGTATTGTTACTTTAGATGTATAATTGTTTGGAAATAATAAACCGTTGTGAAATAATTTGCAGCGTTTTTACTTTATATCATACACATTCTTTAAAATATATTCTGAAACATCCACATCTGTGTGCTAAAAGTTTCATTGGCCCTTTTGAAGTTCATGAAACATAAAATTTTTTAATCAAATCCTTTTTAAGAATTAATCAACTACCTCAATCTACTGGTTTCCTAAAGACAATTATAACTTTTTTTCCAAATGCTAAGGTTTCGTTGATTGATTGATAAAAATTTAATAATTATTTAAAATAAAATGAAATTTAGTAAATAACTTAAACACTAGATTAATACATTTATTGCATGAGTTCTTTCTCTTACAAAGCTCCGATTTAAATATCATTTATGGAACAAAGTTTTTTTTTGTCACCAGCTATGTATTCAAGACTTGGTTGGTTGAAGTCTTATTGTGGCCCGCAGGCCAAGAAGTTTTGAAACCTCTGCTTTAAACTACATTAAAAACTCCATATTTCTTTCTCTTGTTGAACATATCTATTTATCGTTTGTAGAAAATTAATATTTGTTATTTCATGAATGCATTGAGGTTACTTAACCTCTATTTTCTATTTAGAAATATTTGGGATGGGAAAAGAAAGTATACAACATAGAGGCAAAACAAACTGACTGAAGAGAGGACCGTAATCTATAGAGGGTAGCCCCATCAACAGGTGTGGGACCCTCCTCTTTTCATCATACTCCCTTTCTTTAGCTCAATCAATCTTGCAATAAAAGGATAACAAATTTAGCTAACCCCAAACAGCTACACTTCTTAACCCTTCAGCTCCCCTAGTATATTTTTCATAAATGCCTGAGCTACCTGCTTTAAACGTGTATTTCTCAGGTTACTTAGCCTTTCTTGATCGGCATGAAGTTTCTAAATATTATATTATGTTTTCAGTTCTCTTACGACTGCACATTACAATAATAATATCGTAAAATGTGGCTGACGGCACTTACAAGAAGAAATCGTCTATACGCCTTCCCCGTTCTCCACCCTCCCTCCCTCCAAAAAAAAGAAAATAATTTCAATGAATTATACATGATTCTCCGCTATTTTTTTATTTATTGAGCGTTACAACAATCTGTCACTTAGACATTAGTTATAGTGAGGTAGAATAACATTCACACTAGCAAAAAACACATGCATACCAATATACACTATTTACAATCAGGCGAGGGAACTCCAGGAGATCCCTACGCTACTTGAAAGGATAGCGGTATCATCAGCGAATGTTGCCAAGAGGGTATCGGGATGGGCAGGAATATCTGCAAAAAGATATATCTGTGAAAAGGATGTTAAGGACCCAAGACGCTGCCCTGCGGAACTCCTGCCTCAATTAAATTGTACTATTAACGCCAGTGAATCAACACTAAATTAAGTTAGTTTCGGCGATCTCAATGTATTATTGTTATTTTGAAGATTTAATTGTTTGTACTTTCAGATCCAAATTATTTTAAAAAAATATAACAATTTTATTTTCAGTTAATCATAAATTTTAATTAGTCAACGTGTAAATGTAAAATTTATTTTTATTATTTTTTGTAATTTCATATCCATTTATTTTATCAAATTATATGGACTATGAAATGTTTAATTCTAGAACATACGAATTTACTTTATCCATTTATTAAATATTAGTCTTAAAATCTTCGTACTTTTCGTACCAGTTCCATCACAACCCATGGACATTTTGTGTTCAGTGCTGTGTAAGAAAGTATTGTTTCTTTTTCAATGGTTGTGAAAAGAGGTGAGATGAGATGAGTGAGATCGCGCTCAACCGCCTGGTTTCCTTCTTAATTAATTAAGAGTACTCACTTTATGGAGGCTGTGTGGGCAACAGCAGGGTATCCCTACCCCAAGATCGATCTATGGCCGACGATACTGAATAAATACAGTCGTTCACATGATTCGAACCCGAGACTTAACTTCTTTCTACAGTATATTCAATTTCTTTTACATGGTTATTGAGAGGATAAATTAACCGATAGGTACATAAAAATAATAAAATATAAATGTATTCCATTACAACCCACAGAGAGACTTATATTAAGTTCATACATTGTAAGAACTGCTTCTTTGTCAACGGTTGTAACAGGTGATTTGACCTAGATCACCACCTGATTTTCAGCTTTTATTAATGATTTAATTAAAAATACTTAAACCATATCTGAGAGGCTGAAATGTGGTAGTAATTGATTATATTTTTAAAAAATGCAGGTTGTAATGATTTTACACAATCATCCAATCTAACCGGCCATAATCCATCTTTCTTGATTGATTCGTCAATATCTCTCAAGTTTTCTATGTAAGTGAGAAAAAAAAACTTCGTCATTGATACTTTTAAAAGTTTTTTTATTATTATTAATTATTATTACGTTTTAGTAATTAATATGATCATAATTAATGTAAGACACCTTCTATCTTTGTATTGTTGTTGTTGGACCCTAATATATTTTGTACTTACAGTTCACCCCCAGATCCAAGTTCCGAACCAGCTGGTTGGAGCGCCTCAGGGAACTGACGTCACTCTTGCCTGTAGCGTAGAAGCATCTCCTAAACCTATCAATTACTGGACTAGAAATTCAGGTAATTAACATGTCATCCCCATACAATGTTTGATGTACTTCACATGGTCTCGTCAAGTCATATGTCAACTATATTATACATCACGTTATATACCTTAGCATAGAATGTTGTTAAAAACATTTGTTATGATAATGCCATCTTTTTTTAAAAATATATATAACGGTACTAGTCCCCAAGAATAAATTAAACATTTATACGTTCAAGTATTTAAAAATAATAGTTGTTAGTTTAACTTCCTCACTAGCGATAATATAGTGACTTTAACTATTTTAAAATGTAGTTCCAAAATTTCACTTTTTGTTCCTTTGACTTCACAGATCTTGCAGATCACTGGCCTCCTGAACCAGTCTTATGTAAATTTGCCAAAATCGGGGTATAGTTTTCCAGTTTTCTGCATACAACTCTGCAGCAGATTCGATCTATCCTTCTGTTTTTCCCTCACATGTGTTCTCTGTCCAACTCCTTCAGCAATATCATCTACCTATCCAAGTATTTCATAATTAATTTCGAAGAGCATCCCTTCATTTCCAAGTGACGTTCTTTTCACTTTTTCCATTGCTAAGCTGAACAGCGTCATTGAGAATCCATCTACCTGCCAATTCCTTCCAATGTCTTCCAATTCGAACTTTGTTTCTTCTTCTTTTATCAGTATCAACAGTTCATTAGTACACACCTTATAGATTATAAGCGGCTTTAAAATCGACAAATAAATTGAGCGCATCATGAGATACTTCCCATCGTTTTTCGAGCACTTGTTAAAACAAGTCCTAAACGATTAATATCTGGTCTAGCGTGCTGGAGTGCTCTTTGCCTTTGTGAATCATGCTTGGTTGTCACTCATAATAAGAAAATGTTTGTAATATGGAACGCTAGTTACTTATTTATTTTTCCTATATGTATTATATGAATTTTTGCACACATAACTACAACAATAATTATTCACTTCAAAACTTATAATCCAGCTGCTAACTTTAAATGTTAATTTGCCGTCACTGATTACATGATTGGTTCAAAATTTGGAAAATCCGACTAAATCAAGACAAATCACAGCACAAGCAACATTTACGCGTCGGACAGCAAACATGCCCTCCAGAGTACCTTGACTAACACAGATTCCACCAGACAAACACCGTTCACGACCTTGGGTCTACATTGTGACAGAAAAATGACGTGGGGCCCCACAATAACAAAAAAAGAAAAACTTTAAATCAAGATTAAGACTACTGAGTTCACTTCTCAAAAAATTCAAAACTAAAACTTAGACAGAATTGAACAATACAATTAACTATTACAAAACCTATTGGACTTACGTGCTTCACAGATATACTGGACTGCTAAAAAGACCTCACTTAAACTACTTTCAAATCTTTCAAGCAAAAACATTCAGAACAATTACAAAATCACCTTGGACCGTTAGCAACATAACCTTACTTACTGAACCTCCATATGCCGACTGTTAACGATCACATACGTATTGCAATTACAAACGGATTCCATGACAACTTACAAAAGGCACATACTAATAACACGTATAAATGACATGCACACTACGAATATGCCAGGAGTAACTATGTAGAATACTGAAGATGAGCTGATGAGGGACCTCACACCTAATGTAGATATCACCCGAGGAGGTTGCCCTGGGCACCGATCTCCTCATGCCTTTCCATGACAATTCTATTAATCAAGTCGATATCACCTTCATGTTGTCATTAGCAAAATACAGGTTGAATAAAACAAAAGACTAAAAAAAAAAAAAAAAAATTTGCCGTCACTAGTAGAAGTTTGTAATTTGGTTCGCATTCTAAGGAGTTCCCACAAGAGGAACCCATTTCATAATTGAATGATAATAATATAATGTAAAAACATTACATACATCTTTTTTATTATTATATGGATTCCCAGTAGATTTCTTTTTTTTTTTTTTTTTTTTTTTATTATTAATAGAGGACACAATTATTAATCCGTCCCGAGAACCAAATGGTCTAGCTAACACATTTATTAACGTCATTGAGGTTCACCTGATTTTGTAGTCTTCTTATTCTCCAATAATACAGATCCCTTTCTATTGTGTTTCAAATTTAGTTAAAAATCTTAAAAGTCTAGAAAAAAAAATCGTAAAGTGATATTCTATTGATGAAATGTATAAAATCAAGAGAATTACATAATTTTAGTATATAGGTCAACTCTTTTTCATTTTTATTGAATTAAAAATTTTTTTATTCCCTTTTTGACATAAGAATAAATGATTTGCAATAAAAAAAAAGATAAAAAAACATATAAAATCACATTATTATTTATATTTATTTTTTTTAAGTTCTGAAATTACATTTTAAAAATAACCACTCAAACACACACAAACACTAATGCATTTAAAGTAAATACGAATAAATGAGATAAGATCCTTATAAATACATATACTGTTCAAAAATGAATAAGGATATTGTAAGTTCTGTATGATTTATCTTTCCTGCATTTTTCTTTATCTTAAAATGCATTGAAAATTAATGTAAATAAAATTGTATTTGACCACTGAAAATTTTATTAAACATTATGATTGAGAATTGTAAACATTTTGTAAAATTTAATACTATAAAAATTAAGTAAAATTTATAATAATATTATGTTTTGCATTTATATTATGTGTAATATCCTCGGTTCCGCACCTCTAGACTGCATTGAAGGTTGCACAAACTGTGGCAGTGTATCCATCTGTTTTCAGTAGATTTTCTGGCCCCTACGATCGTTATAAATAATGGCGCTAGTCTATAAAGGTTGCAGCATTTAAATTTCTATCCTCATCTAGGTTCTCGCTTCACCATGATCTGTGGAGTTGCTGGCGAGGGGCATAAGATGCTAGAACAACTTCCCACAAACGATTACGAATGGTTTGTGTTGGTAAAGGCCTTGGTAGAACATTCATCACTTAATTTAGGTCGTGTCGTGCAATATAAAAAGGGTTGTTTCTTTGAATAATACCAATAGTTTTGTCATCCCTTGGTGCCGTAACGCGCTGAGATCTACTTACAGATCTCTTATTGGTACTTCCTGTTTTCTTAATCTGGTTAAAGCTCGGGAGACCACAATCTCGGAAGCGCGAACTGCATCGGTGATATCTGCTTGCCTTGAGCGCTCACTATTTCGATAATATTAGGTTCAATATGATATCATTCCTTCGTTAAACGGAATATTACTGGATCAAAATTTAGAGAAATCGAAAGGAATTGTTGGTTTACAAAAGGAGCATATAATAAAATTTCTAGCAGGAAAAGAAAGGGTATTTTAATTAAATTGAATAAAATATACCATTTTACCACTTTTTTATTATATGCCATTTAGTATATATACATATATTATATATATATATATATATAATATATATATATATATATATATATATATATATATATATATATATATATATATATATATATATATTCTTTTTTAAATAATTTGGTAATGAAATAGTTACAGTAAGTAGGTGAAACCAGAATAGATCCAAACTTTTCTGTTTATTCAATTAAGACCAATTAGTCATGAGCTAAACAGATCTCAAATTTTATTAAAAAACGAAACTATCAAAAACTTCAATATGCTATTTAACTACTTCTAATATATCTTCAATTCTTCTTCTTCTTCTTCTTTAGCTTATCTCTTTAGTACCTCTCAGCGTAGAGGAGCATCCAGACAGGAATTCCATTCTTCCCTATTTCTAGCTAGTTTCCTCGCCTGTCGGAGGTCCTTCTCCCTCGCCCTACAGAGTCGCTCAATGTAGTCGAGATAGGACATCCTTGGGCGGCCCCTAGGTCTTCTGAAATCTGGGACATATTCCACGGTGTTTAGAGGATCTCTGTGGTCGTCCATCCTGATAACATGGCCGAACCACCTTAGCTGACGAGATTTTAGGAGCTCTTTCAGTGGGACTATCTGCAGTTCCTGACGAATACTTTCGTTGCGAACTCGGTCTCTCCTTGTTTTTCTAACCGTCCTTCGCAGAAATTTCATTTCGGCAGCGGTGATTCTACTCTCCTGTCGGTCTGTTAATATCGTCTGTTAATCTCCGCTCCATACAAAAGTATGGGTAGATATACCGTCTTGAGGATGTGTAGCTTGTCCTTTTTGCCTACTTCTCTCTTTCCTACCACAGTGTTACATATCCGGTAGTAAACTATATTTGCCTTGTTAATCCTGTTTGATATCTCTGCGTCTACCTTCCCAGATCCTTATGTCACTGTACCCAGGTATGAGAACTCTGTCACCACTTCTTATTCTTCTCCATTATAGTATATGTGGATATCTTCCTTCTTTCTTTCAACTTGTAGGATCTTACTTTTGTTGGTATTTATAAGCATCCCTTTTCGTTGGAGCTCTTCATACCATTCCATAACTGCCAATTGCAACTTTACCACTGAGCCTGTAATCAATACCACTTCGTCGACGTAGAGGAGAAGCTGTATCACCACAGGATTAAGATTCCTACGTCCCAGGAATGTCCTGTCCGTTCTACTCTTACAAATGGATGCCACTTTATCTTTGAACAACAATGGGCTTAGGCTGTCTCCTTGTTTCACCCCCTTTGCGATATTGAAACTACCTGATTCTATTCCTTTCAGCCTTACTATTCCTTTCGGCTCTTGGTATATAGATTTTATCGCCTCTCTCAGATTTCTCGGAACCTTCTTCGATCTGAGAGCTCCCCATATTTCATCTCGTGGAACCAAGTTAAAGGCAGATTTGAGGTCAAGGAAAGCCAGGTCAATTCAAATTGATTTAAAGTTAAAAAATGAAGAAGAAAATCTTGTAGAGTGGTAGTTTAATCTTATAGAAAGAGCTTAACCTCCAACTAAGAAGCCTTGAATTACCCCACAGATAATTAATTAGAACTCTAAATGACGGTTAAATAAACGCAAACATGGTTCCAGAATTTAGCAAGTAATTATGAAAATCATATGCGCATATCATTTCATCATATCTGCTGCTGGGCTTCATTCCGATTCAAAGTAAACAA